AGTTGTATTCCGTTTGTTAATGTTCTTACAATTGGTTGCTAATTGATATCGGAAGAACATATTTAAAAACTCGTACGCATCGCGGAATCTTATACAAATAAATATTGACAATCGATCTTGACGACACAATTTGTAATACAAATACATAGTTTAGGAGTTGTGCACTTGGATCTAATTGTACGACAAACAAGTACTAAAGATAAGGCGTACGAGTTAAGCACGCGGCCCACACGTGTTTACGGACATTAATATTTAGGAATCTGATATCACGGCCACTTAAACGTACAGATTTTTATATCGACATTGAAACAAACTATGAAAATCTTCTAGAAGGTGTACTATGGTACATAAACTCGTATTTGATGGGTATTTGTTTCAATAAGGTAGCCTAGAAGCGAGCAATATTGATGACGCAGGATTCTCTCGAGCGTGGTGGCCACATTATCGTCTATTACATGAGCAAATTGATCTGGTACAGACAGGTTCGTAGCAATATACGTTTAAACATTCAATTACATACGTCACATATGTGAATTGATCAATATGCAAAATTATATTGCTATGTAATGCTATGCAATGTCGTGACGTTCCGATTACGTAACATTCCTGTTGACAATGATTATTGTTATTTATTACATTTCTTTAAATAAGTCAATAACCTTTGAACTTTTACAGACTTACGCAGTAGCGATATGATCCGTGTGGGGTCGTTGCGGTAACGTGTTTAAAAATACTGTTATCAAATAGGGACAGGGGGACCCGCGTGACACAATGTAATAACAAAATATTGAGAAGGTCTATGGTTGACGGCATGACCAAGCTATATTCTAAAGTATTCAAAAATATCCCCCAAAAACTATGCGAGCAATTTTCTATTAATTGCCACGTGTTGTCCGGGGATTTTTTAAAGAAAAAAGTGAATGTAGTTAAAATTAACTGCTTTTAAAATAGTAAACGATGTTTGTTTGAACTTTGACCTTTGCGTAGTATTAGTTCCCTCTTGTGCTAATATTACTTCCCCCTTGGCATTTGAGCCGGCCTGTTGTTGCGAAATATGTCAGGAACTTTATTTATGTCTCGATATAAATGACGTATTTTAAAACATTTAATATGCTCAAGATGGCTGCAAAACGGTAAAAATACAGTTTCTCGACTACATCATTGACGTGTACTTTTATGCTTTTTTTAATGGAAAAAGAATACGCCTATTTTATAGTAATTTTCTAAGACTTGTCAGAGTCATCTGCACACTTATTCTGGTCATCGTACGATAGTACTGTTATAGAAAATAAATAAATATTTTTAATTCCGAGTACATATGCGAAAGTGCATAACTTAACCAGAAGAATTTAACCAAGTAAATAAAATGTGTCCAGACGTTATTTCAAGAATTATTTTATTAAGTTACAAACATGACACAGTTGTAAATCTGCCAAGTATTTGTTACTACAATACCGGCAGTAATTCAAAACTGTGATATTGATTCGTGTAATCCTATCGACGTCTACTAGATTACAAGTTCAGCGTCCGAAACGACGGCGTAGCGTGGTCTTCCCGATTTGGATGCTAAACTGGCAACGTTCCAGGCTGCATTCTGTTAGGGTGTGTATACCGTGTCAAGCGAGAGAGATTCCCAAACTGTAAACAATGTAATCCTCATTTGTGATTCTTACGCGAGCATTGGCAGCCTGTTATGCAGATATGCTAAACGTAATACCTAACTATTTTTTTCACTTATTCGTTTTTCATCTTGTGATATTTAAAGATATCGACCATTTGTAGTAATTTGTTTCTCAATTACATTCCTGTTACTTCGAACAATGTAGTAGCAAGAGATGCATTCTTCTACCAAATCCGCTTTTTTATCTCAATATAAACACACCCTTAGACGGTGCATGGTAAACATCACGCCATGTGCTCGCTTCAATGATCATACGACAACATCGATACAATTGCAGATTTGGCTAACGATGTTTTTGATGTTTGTTTCGATTTGCATCTGTCCAACGGCGCAATGTTTTTTTAAAACAGAATGGAAAATGTTGTTTTGACATACTATTGGCATATCAAAATTATAGAAATGATTAAGTTTAAATATTTTGATGAATTGTTTGAGTGACTATGGTAAGCAACTGGAGCATAATTCCTTGCACGTCTATTAAAGACTTCTGGCGAATGTGGTGTAGGGTAAGACCAGTCGTCTTTTCATAAAATTACAGGCGTCTGTTAGACACATATAATGTGCAATCGAGTGGAAAGTTTTGATTTGGCTATTGTTTATGTGTAGGTCTCGTTACGCGACATTCGTAGCTATAAATTATGACCCAACTCACATACTTATGGATTCTGCGAATCACTATAATTTACGATACTATTTGCATTACACTTTCGTAAAGCAAAGTCTGCCAAAGCAAGTAAATATTTGTATGTGTTATTTAAGATTAAAGTAGTTGCTTTTATATCATGGCTGTCGGTTTATTTAAATATTGAAATTTTATGATGAATTTTGTCTGGTAAACTGAATTCGTTGAATTGTGATATGTTAAATAAACATTCTTTTCCATTAGCTACAAAATATTGTATTTACGGTAGTAGTAGTACAAGTTTGGGCTTCCCTGTTGATTAACAATGCAGCAAACATCTATCTTCCATAGCGCTTTTCTGAACAAAAAACCAATCAGATGTAGCTTGGTAATAATCACTATGCTGCGATAGTCTCTATTGCCAATAGATATTAATAAATGCAATTTTATAAGATGATTCACCATATGCTCGGTGATTAAGGAAAACTTGACGAGGAAGTATGTATTGTATTAGAGTCTAGAAGTTTGCCAATACGCACTGTAGTCATGTGGTGAAATTATTATCTCACTTTATGTAGCTTACATATCAAAGTAGTAACACCATAAAGTAGTTATTTAAATCAATATCTATTAAGTACTCATATCGTTGTTGTTAAATATCATAATATTAACAACAAAGATAATGTTAATATTGACAAAACAATTAACGAAGGTGGGAATGAGGACGCAGTGATAACGGTCGTACATTCCCCTAGTATTGAATAGGAAATGTTGAATGAAAACGGAAATATTCTAAGTACTTATCGTATTGCGTTCAGAATAAAGTCAACAAGATAAGGCGTGTACATATTACGCGGTATTGTCTGTCTTGATCGATTGTGTCGGTACGTCATGTATACCACATCCTTAATACGTGAAATAATCTACTTGACCTCATGTTCACTCTATTCTGAATTTTGCGAATACAATTATGGAATTTAGGCTGGTAATAGCATCTCGTTACAATGACATTCCGTAAGAGGCTTTTAGGCGACCAATAAATCACTAGGGCCATTAAATGCATATTGGTTAAGAAAACGAATCATATTTCCATGGTGTTGGTATTTGGCCTTACATTTAATAAAAGTTAACTAAATAAAATAGTTTACACATATCAGTACCACATTTATTCTCACAAGACTGAGCTAACAGGAATCTGAGTAGAAAGCATTCAAAGAATTATCGGCGAAAAAACAACAATTCTTTGAATCGGACAGTGATGCAATCTGATAGTTCGCTTTAGCGGTTGACGCTCCATTTTTTGCGTCGTACCAATTTTTATTATATTTATTCGTTCACGCTTCTCTTGTAATGTGAATGAACAGAGTCCATTATTAAAGTTTCTCATTCAGATATAGAACCACTAAAGAAACTGACACCGCAGACCGTTTTTTGCAACTCATCATAAAGACTCAATCAGTAAAAATAGACATTTTCAGAATTGATATCGGTCTACCTTAGTATTTATTTTTCTTCACCTGCTATGCAGCTTTTGGTGTGAAAGTACTGTTCCAAATAAAGGTAAAATACAAGTTCAAGTATAGTCTCGCATCGATTTGAGTGAAACCTGAAAAAAGGTCACTGAAAGTCTAGACTAGAGCTAGGCCACGGACGCCAAATTTTTCCAGTGTTACGTATGCTGTGTATACACTACTTTAGTGTGGGTGCATGTGATTGTGTGGGTTAATTGATAGCCGGTCCGCCGAGCTGCTGCTAGCTCTATTGGTCAATAGTTCTGAGTGCTACGTCAGAGATGCGCGCGCATCCTGAACCTCCCTATTGCTCCCACCTCGAATACATTTACCATAATACGTGTGAGACATTCCTAATTTGATTAAATACTCGTATAAAGAAAAGACGATTGTCAAAAGTCGATAGAACTTTGTTAAGTTTTCAAAAGCTTATAATGGCATATTACACGACGTTTTTATATTCCTGAGCCATGAATAATAATATAATAATAATAACATTTTGAAAGAAATCCCACTATAGATTGTGAAATTGCTTACATAAGGTCGATGTGTTGATGCAATGGTTGAATCTAAGACAACCTCTCGATTTAACGATTTCCCGACTTTACTTAACCTCTAGGAAACCAATAGCAGCAAAACAGTTGTAATACCTTTTCATGTCCGCAGAAATTTTGTCTATATGCTGAACCTACATTATCGTACTTGTGACCTTTAAATGTAGCGGCTATAAGTGCTTGTTTGTAGATATTCCGAGCTCAGCTCCGTATTCCAGCGGCGACGATGCATGCTTGTTCGGATAACGTTTGAGATAAACTTTATGCACATTATTTATAACGTATTTAGAGCTACAATCGACGTGGTAACGGTTATTAGACCTTTATAACATGACTACGTTTGGATAACCCATGTTTTAAACGTAAGAACCTGTATAAAAGGTACATACTGATCTTTAAGATAATGTTTATGTCGAAAATTAATATGGACTGTTGGTATAAATACTCCTTACATTTAAGAGTCTTATCTTGAAAGAGCCACCAGAGAACGTTTTGTTAAAGAAATTATTTATATATTTTGTCTGTCTTCTAAGAAGAGTGTTCGATATACCTTTTTTGCACGTATGCATTTTAATTAAAAATAGGGAGTTTTCTTTTCTTTGAATTTTTTTTATTCATCTTTGTATCCTTAGGGACAGTCATCAGATTGATCTACCGCCATTCGGCAAGTACGCGACGGGCATTTTCTTCTTGGACAAGCTGCACCACCAGGACATCGAGAAGAAGTTCAAAGAGTTGGCCGAGAGCCTCGGTCTGCAAGTGCTGTGTTGGAGGACGGTGCCCACCAACAACTCTACTATCGGTAAGTCAACGAGACTCGTAACTTCTATTCGTAGATTTTGAGAAATCGTGTAAAGTTCGTAACTTCTGAGTATATTGGATCTTTGAGAATTTATGTAGTACCTTACTGTTACACATCTTAATAAATCTTTAATGACAAGTAATGTCAAAATTTAGTTCATCTCATATCATTACGCTTATGTGACCGCGTACTTTAACTATATGATTGCGTTTTACAGCATTATGTAATGTTTTAAAAATGACAATACAGATAAAATGTCAGGAAAAGGGTATCGATGGGTGTGACTACGCAATTCACCTTGCTTTATGTAATCAAGGAAAACCACAACATTATCACATGCTTAATGTATATAGTTGAAACTCATATATTTTTAGATAAAGCCTATATCATAATGCCACATGGGTTATGGAACAATTATGTTTAACTTATTATTAAAATTCAATTCTCCAATCTACGTTTTAAATTTGTTATTTTTTTTTTCATTGAAATAGACCTATAACTTGTCCTAATTACTGTCGAAACTCTAATGTTTTCATGTCACTTATCCGTCTCGCTAAATGTCTCATTTTCTTTAATTAGTAAATCACTATGGGATACGTTTACACTGTTGCGATGTGTTTACGACTATTTTTCAGGTGGTACACACGTAGTAACGAATCGCTTGGGACGCCCTCATCCAAGCTTGACCATGGTTTGTTCTGTGACCATACGCGGTGGCACGTAAAGTAAGACAACTTTGCTTCTTGTTCCACAAACTCTGACACTACTATGTTACTAATGAAAAATATTATATTAAAAACAAATGTTGAATGGTCAATGGAAAATTTTGTATCAGTATTTGTGGATCGAGTACAAAGTGAGTTTAAGATACATGGTACCGCTCTGTAAGAATGACATTTGTAAATGAGTTTATTTGTTTTAGTTACCAACGAATTAGTTATTACTTTTAAAATATAACTCTGTTACAAATGTAATCACAAATTAAACAATTACTGCACTGCCATATTGTACATTTAATTACATTTGTAACTAATTAATGGGGTAAATACAAATGTATTCCCTTATAAATTTGAAGTATTCGGAAAGCAATAAAATGTTAGGGGAAACAGTGGTAGTGCGGTAATTCATATTGGGACCATTTTCAAAATTATTCGTTGCGAATTTAATTTTAAGTTACATTGATTAGATACATCTAGAGAACATGTAAATCATTATTTGTTTAAGGCCACTTGGATATTAAAACATTAAATTTTTTTGTCATAAATGTTTAATTAATCGAAAACATTTAATCACGTGTCAGTTCCATGCATTTATGACATTTTTAGTGCTATATATCGTTGTAAAATCTCAAGAAACATAGGATATGATAAAATACAGATATGTGAATTACGTTATTTGACTTTGTAAATTAAATGCAAGGTAACTAATACTCGCTTTTGACTGCTTTGCAGGTCAAGTAGCTCGTAATTCGGAGCCGTACATGCGACAAGTGTTTGTCACCGGCGATATCGAAGACGAGGAACATCTGGCCAGAAAGGTAAGACTGGATAGACGAATACCGGCTATGGATGTGAGTGTACTTAATGAATGGATAACAGAGATGGATATGAACACGCAATAATATAAATTGTGCTTTCAAATCCTCGTATGATTGTAACGGTATGGACAGAACTCTTAAAGCATTTTTTTCAGATGGACGCCCCGCGCGCCGGCGACGGGGAGCGGGCCTCCTCTCCGTTGCAAACGTAAATTTACACATCCTTATCCTTTATCCTTGCATTTACAATTAAGTGCTTTATTTTTAAATACTTTAAGGTTTTTATTCCTTTGTTTTTAGTCAGATTATCCTAATTCCTACGTGTTTTAGTCAAAGTTTTGTAAGAGTTATGTTAAATTGTAGTATGCGTGTTCGCAGATATTCGTGCTCCGCAAGCGCGCGTCGCACGAGCTGGTGGTGCCAGGCGCCAGGTTCTATATCTGCAGCCTGTCCTTGAGAACTGTCGTCTATAAAGGGCTGCTTACTTCCAACCAACTATGGGTAATTTATTAAAATTGCAAAATACACGATTCATTGTAGTAAAAAATTCTGTTTTTAAAATGTGATTTTGTACACAGGAATATTTCAAAGACTTAAGCAACCCGGCGTTTACGACGTATTTAGCGTTGGTGCACACGCGCTTCTCTACCAACACTTTCCCCAGTTGGGAAAGGGCGCATCCTTTGAGGTGAATTTTTGAATAGTCTAAATCTGTAGTAATATTATAAAGAGGAAAGATTTTTATTTTTGTATGTATAACTATATTTGAAATAACTCAAAAATTACTAGGCCGATTTCAAAAATTCTTTTTAATTGCAAACATACGAAGTTGCGAGCAAAAGCTATCTATACTTAATATCATAAAGACGAAAGATTTGTATTTTATATATAGTGAAATAATTTAAAAATTACTGTGCCGATTTCAAAATTACTTCACTATTAAAAAGCTATGTTCTCACTGAGTAACATAGGCTGTATTTTTTACTACTTTATAATTTCACGTGGATGAAGTCGCGAGGTAACAGCTAGTAATTTGTTAAGTTTGTACTAAGCTGTATTCAATTATGTTAATGTTGCAGAGTGTTGGCGCACAATGGCGAGATAAACACGCTCCGAGGGAATGTCAATTTAATGAAGGCTCGCGAAGGTGTCATGAAGAGCGACTTGTTCGGAGATGGTAAGTTTTTTAAATATGTCTTCGTTTATATTTTCCACTGAGTTTTTCGCACGTTTTAAATAAAATAACTTTGTACATTAAGATTTGCAACATTATGATTTATGCGCATTTTTAAATTGTAATGTAAATGGTTTGTAAAAAAAATGAAAACAGTTTATTTGGTAGTATATTCATGTTGAATAACATTTAAATTCACAAATTAACATTTCGTTTTACTATCATTTAGTGCTGCAAAAAGTCTAATAAGTAAATAAGTGCAACTAATCTTTAGTATAACATTTACGTATTAGGGGACACGCTTAGTAGAATTTCACAGATATTGAAAGTTTTTGTAGAATCTTGCAAATTCGTGGCCTAAATAATTATAAATAGAAATAAGACGTGTTAGTATTTTAAAAGTAGTAAGCAAATTTGTGATATTAGAGTAGTTTAAATGTGATATTACTTTGTAAGTAATATTGTAAATTTATTAAGAGAAAAAAAAACTATTTTAAAGAAATATATCTGTAGCTTAAATGCCTGACTATACATGTTAGGGGTACGAGAAGGTGGCATAGCGTCGCCCATAAAAAAATCCATTTAGAAAGCCTAATAGTAGCGCTTTGTCATCATCTCCCCTACCTTATACTCCCATAGGGTCATAGCACCGAGTTTTCGTTCTCAAAATAACTCTCATCCGTCATCTGTCATCATTTCCTTGATGATGTCACTTGACACAATCCATCCATCTGTTTGTAATAAGGGGGCATACATAAATAACGTGAGGTTTTTTTTTAATTACTTGCATCTCCCTCCCCTCCACCCTGGTGAGATGTCGTGAGATTTTATTCAACCCTCCCCCATTCGCCAATCTCACGTGAGATTTTTCAAAATGTATAATCTGGATTGAATGAACCAAAATAGTATAATATTTTTTGTTTCAATCAGAAAAAAAATTGCGTAATATTTGCCGAGACCCTCCTCTCTCCAACGTAAGATTAGATGAGATTTGACTCGACCCCCTCCCCCCTTAAACACCCCTTATGGACGCCCCCTAACAGCGATTGTGTGTTGCAGAGTTGAAGAAGCTGTACCCGGTGGTGGAGCCGAACCTGTCGGACTCGGGGTCGGCGGACTGCGTGCTGGAGTTCCTGTGGCAGTGCGGGCGGCGCGCGCTGCCCGAGGCGGTGATGACGATGGTGCCGGAGGCGTGGCACGCCGACCGCACCATGGCGCCCGCCAAGCGCGACTACTACCGCTGGGCCGCCGCCGCCATGGAGCCCTGGGACGGGCCCGCGCTCATCGCCTTCACTGATGGACGATACATTGGTCAGTAAACTAAAAACACGCGTTTAACTATCACTTTCAGGACAGTTAATTAAGTTACAATTACACAAATAGTTGAATTTGATGTTTCTTAACAATTCATTATATAAGTACAGTCGGGCAATCTGGCGGTGTTTATTTTAAGCTATTGACGTTATGAACCTTTAATTTTAAATAAAAAAATACCGGTCAATCATACACTGCTAATTGTAATTTATTGACACACTAGTACATTATTGGTTATTTGAAAGAACTAACGGTGTTTGTCTTGTTATAATTAAAAAGGCAATTTAAGTTTAAGAGACATACCGAGGATTTTCGCTATTGTACTTTTTGTTATGCTTTAGAGTTTGAATATTTGAGATTTTTAGCAGAATCATTCAGAAAATGTGCATATATTGGAGAATTTTAAACACAAAGAGCGCTTTATATGGTTTTTGTTCTGTTCTTAGGTGCGATTCTGGACAGGAACGGTCTGCGGCCTTCACGTTTCTATGTGACCAGTGAGAACATACTGGTGATGGCCTCCGAGGTGGGGGTTTACGATGTAGAACCCGAGAAAGTTATCCACAAGGTAACAATTACGTTAATCAAAAAGCGAATATTCAAAAGCAGATTCATATTCTCCTCCGAATGCATTCAGACATCGATTTCTTGAAAAGAAATACTAGTTAAGAGGATGCCGTGTTTCAGAGCCGACTGAAGCCAGGCCGCATGTTGCTGGTGGACACGGTGGAGAAGAAGATCATCCAGGATGTGGAGCTGAAGATGGAGATCGCCAACAGCCGCCCGCACTCGCAGTGGCTTAAGGAACAGGTAAATACATGGTTTTAAAAAGCAACAATCCTTCATATATTAATGATATTTTTCGACTTCGTTCATTGGTAAAAGTGTATACATTATGTTTGTAAAAATGTCGATATGTAGAATTTTACGTGGTAAGTAGGAGAGTGATTTGTGTTTGTTATAACTGTGAATCTGTACATTACCTTCCACATGTATTATTAAATTTGTATTCAATATATTTTATTCTATGTTCACGCTGCATTTGACAAAAAACTGATCTGTACGAAAACTGATGTTCTAGATGGTGAGTTAAGAAAAACAAAGATTTGTATAAGAACGTTGAATTGTTTCCGCAGCGCTTTTGTTATTTTTATGCTAATAGTTTATTTTTATCTCAAATGGAAAAAATATTCTTTATTAAATTTTTTGCTCGAAAAGATTTGTTAAAAGTTTAAAATAATTAAGGTTAAATCGTAAAGAGTTAAAGTGACACAATTATTTTTGTTTGTCTCACATTCGCACGCCTTGAAAAATTTAAGATTAAAATTCAAGGTTATATTTTTTATTTACAATTTTACAATATGTAAGGCTTTTGCATCGCAGTTTCTTCGCTTTTTCAAAAAGAATACTAGACGCAATCTTCTAACCGTAACACTATTATATGAGAATGTTTGTACACAAGTGTTGTCAATGGAAACGCACTAATAAGTGATGTTTGTGTTAGATAACAATGGAGGACATCCACGCGTCTGTGAAGCTGGAGAAGTGCGGGCGCGCGCTGAACGGCAACGCTATCACGGGGCTATCAGACCGCCGCCTTGCTCTCTACGGGTACACGCTGGAGGCCATCAACATGCTGCTCGTGCCCATGATACAGAACAAGTTTGTATATAAAATTGCACAAACTACATGAAAAATTAATGTAACATTTATTTTTTACAAGAAAAAACTAATTAAATGTATCGTTTGTAGGAAGGAGGCGTTGGGCAGCATGGGTAATGACGCGCCCCTTGCCTGCTTGTCGCAATTCCAGCCGCTGCCATACGAGTATTTCAAGCAACTGTTCGCGCAGGTCACCAACCCGCCCATAGATCCTTTTAGGTGATTCTCTTCGACATTCACCTTGTTATACAGTTTTTCTCCGACTGTTTTTTTATGTTTCATTGAAACCTAAAAAAAATCCCATAGTCGATTTGTCTTCTCAATGTGTTTTAGGATTTTATAAGTACATTTTTATTAATTTGCTAATAACTCTTGTGACCATTCTAAAAAACAGCTTGTGCTAGAATTAATACACGACAATACTCGAAAAACCGAATTTTAAACCACGACTTTTTACCGTTTTAAAACTCTTACTAATTATTTTGTCCGATCAGGGAGAAGATAGTGATGTCTTTGCTGTGTCCGATCGGTCCGGTGGGCAACATCCTGGAGCCGAGCGCGGAGTTCGTGCACCGGCTGTCGCTGCCGCAGCCCATCCTGTCGCTGCCGGACCTGGCGGCGCTGAAGCAGACGTCGCACCGGGGCTGGCAGACGCACGTGATCGACTGCACGTACGACTGCGCGGAGGGCCCGCTGGGGCTGGAGGCGGCGCTGGGGCGCGTGTGCGCGGCGGCGCGCGGCGCGGCGGAGCGCGGCTGCCAGCTCATCGTGCTCAGCGACCGCAACGCCGGGCCCGAGCGCGTGCCCGTCAGCTCTCTGCTCGCACTCGGTACGTACGCCTTTTCACACTCATATACGGTACAATTAGGGTAGATTTAGTTAAAATGATTGCCTTCTGGAGTAACTCTCTACGGAGTAAGTCTAGTTGGTCTCGATTTATATTACCTCAAGGCGATTTAAATAAAAATCCGGAATCTTTAAATGCGATAGTAAGTCTCTTTGTGGAGGTTTATTGACCGACTTCCCAAAAGAAGGAGGTACTCAATTCGTCTGTATGTTTTTTTTTGTTGTTAAGTCAAGTAAATTACAAAAAATAATAATCAAAATGTTTTTCAGTTACATTAATATTTAACTTCTTGATTATAGGTGCTGTTCATCATCACCTGATCGACACTCGGCTGCGCATGAAGGTGGGCATCCTGGTGGAGACGGCGGAGGCGCGCGAAGTTCACCACATGTGCGTGCTACTCGGTACGTACAAATCACCGTGCATTCCTACTGTTTAAATCTCTTAGACTTATATTCTTTATTCTTCTAAGGGCCTGTCCCACCAATGGCTGATAAAAGCTCAGATAGCTTAAAAATGATGTCACTGTCAGATAAAGTAACAAAATCCGATATTTCCATATCACATTTTACACATTGGATTGTTATCTGACAATATACAAGAATTTGGTAGAACTGACTCTAATCTAAACTTTATTTTTCTCTCTATTTTAAACCTAACTTTCGCCTGTCTTGTGTCAAGGTTACGGCGCGGACGCGATCTGTCCGTACTTGGCGTTCGAGCTGGCGTTCGCTTTGCGCGACGACAATGTCATCGACAGTTCGCTGTCTGACGATGACATCTACAAGGCGTATCAGAATGCCATCGAAACAGGCATCGCTAAGGTAAACACTGACAAATTTATCTAATATATCTAACTAATGTTATAAATGCGAAAGTTTAGATGGTTGTTTGTTAGAGTTTGTAGCCTAAACTGCTGAACGGATCTCAATGAAATTTGGCATAGAAGCAGAATAGTCTGGAAGAATACATAGGCTACTTACTTTTTTTTAATTCTACGCGAACGGATCGCGAGCGAAAGCTAGTTAAATCATATTGTTATCCCTTATATTTTGATTGACAAATTAGAGAAAATCTTAAGTAGTACAATTACACCCTAATCGAAACTCATCGTAAAAAAACTCTAACATACATGTAAAATGATTTTTATTGCACTCTCAGAATCAATTAAAGATGACCTAGTCTATACTCTTGTGTTATTCAACAAACGCAATCTAATTAAGTAAAGATTGAATTGGACCCGATTTTGCTATAAGTAATATATCTGTACCTATATTATAATGATTCTTAATTTGTTTGTGTATTCCAGGTGATGGCGAAGATGGGCATCAGCATGCTGCAGTCGTACAAGGGTGCGCAGATATTTGAGGCAGTCGGCCTCAGCGAGGATGTCGTCGATAAATGCTTCAAGGGAACACAATCTAGAATCGGTATTTATTTCAATATAATCCATGCCTAAAATACTGTAATCTATACTAATATAAAGAGCAAAGATTTGTATTTTTATATGTATTGAAGTAACGCAAAAACTACTGGGCTGATTTAAATTTTTTCACGATTAAAAAGCTATGTTATCAGTGAGTAACATAGGCTATACTTTTTATTACTTTTTAATTTCACGCGAACGAAATCGAGTGCAACAGCTAGTCATCTATAAATTTAAGCATAAAAGTTAGCAATTTATCAACTTTGCATGCAATAATACGTATAAACAACCTTTTTTGTTAATAAATGACCGAATTTTTATTTCAGGTGGTGTAACATTTGAAATCCTCTCGAACGAGATATTCGATAGACACGCCATGACGTATGGAAGTTCCTCCGATACTTTAGTATTAAGGTAACATATTACATAAAAAAAACATATGTCTCCTGTTTCCTATGACGTAATAAAATAATATTTCTTACTATAGGAATCCGGGACATTATCATTGGCGTGCGGGAGGAGAGAAGCACATCAATGACCCAGTTTCCATTGCCAACCTGCAGGAAGCTGCCCTCAGTAACAGCACCTCTGCTTACGATAGATACAGGTAAAACATTATCTTATACTCGTATAGTCTATTAATTTTATGATTTAACCACAGAATTAATATTTTTTTTCAACTCTCAGCACACAATTACTCGACTTCTTGATATGCAGCGTCTTCCCGTCCTTATTCCCGTATTTTTCGTCCTCTATATTAATATGCAACTTGCAATCCTTTCGTAATAATATAAATCACGTACTGCTATAAAAATTACCACACAAACGTAATGTAACTAACCAAGTTATTGATTCATGTTGTATTTTAAGTAGATACCAGTGGGTTAAGATAAATTTATAATCTGAACTAAAATGTAAAATCCTGTTATATATTAAGTATTTTTTTTATAATACAAGGTGGCAAACAAGCAAGCGGCCACCTGAATCCACCGAAATGGAAAGCGACCGCTGCCCATAAACATCCGCAATAGCAGATGCGTTGCCTACCCTTCATTGACGGAGGAGGAGACGCACATAAAGAGAACATTTCCCCTTCCTATGCGTCTCCTCCACCGTCAAATCCACTTTTCCTTCCCATCCTTTTCTCTTAAGAAAAAGGATTGAAAGGGAAAGGGACTAAAATTAGGCCTCCGGCGCCACACTCATCAGACGAAACGCGGAATTGCTTCCATTTCACGCCTGTCTTCTGTGTGGTCGTGGTATTACTGGGGGCGTGCCGGCCCTGCAGTGCTAAGATGTTAAAGCAGGCACTACCACTGGTCTATATAAATGTATAAGGCCATATATATTGTTGTTTAGAGTATAATGTGGTGTGTGTTACAGGGAGAGTGCGCTGGAGTCGATCCGGGCGTGCACGCTGCGCGGCCAGCTGGAGCTGGTGAAGCTGGACGAGCCCATACCTCTGCACGAGGTGGAACCTGCCGCGGAGATCGTCAAGCGATTCGCCACAGGTACACCACTAATTATCAATTAACGTTATATCCAAACAATTATTATGTACAATCGGAGAAACTAGCGGTTTTCCACCTTAAAAGCTATATTTAAAACATTTTGAAACAAGACTTTGATGACGATGTGCGATATCTTCTAACCTGAAGTTTTTTTATTGTTTATTATTTTTAATTTCCTAATTATTTATGTTGCCAGGCGCGATGTCGTTTGGCTCTATATCTCTGGAGGCGCACACCAGCCTGGCCATCGCCATGAACCGAATCGGCGGCAAATCCAACACCGGAGAGGGTGGAGAGAATGCCGACAGATATCTCAATCAAGTAATATACTTTATTTATTTACAAACAAAGAAATGACATTACATATGTTTTTGTGTTTTCGCATATTTAAATGTTCAGCTCACATCGGACCGTTGAGCTATAGCTCAACAACTAAATTAGCAGTTCACGGCACACCACAATGTAAAAGAGCCAACGAGCAAGCTGCCTGTCAGTCGCAACTCACAGCTCGAAATGCAAATAGCCTCACATATGTAAACAAAGGGCTTATCACTGATTTGCATCTTCAATTTTAGTTGATTTACCTATGACTTATGTAAAAATGTTGTGTGCAGGACCCGGAGTTCAACAAGCGGTCGGCCATCAAGCAGGTGGCGTCGGGCCGCTTCGGGGTGACGGCCTCCTACCTCGCGCACGCTGACGACCTGCAGATCAAGATGGCGCAGGGCGCGAAGCCCGGCGAGGGCGGCGAGCTGCCAGGTTAACACCTTTATAACATTAAGTGACTAGTATTGCAATGAACAAGAACTTTCTAGAAAAATGTATACTATAATAGAAATGGTTCAAAGATGCGCCAACTGTTCATCGAAACAACCTAATACAGACGCATAACCTAAAAACGCATAGGACAACACACATACACTTACTTAGTATTATAAAAATTAAAATTTGAATTTTTGTTAGAGTTTTTAGCCTAATCTGCAGAACAGATCTCGATAATAACTGGATAGAAGTAGAGGATTATTTGGAAGAACATAGACATACTTACTTTTTTTAATTCCATGCTGACGGATTTGCGAGCAAAAGCTAGTTTTCAATAGTCGGCATTGATTGTTTTTTTTTAATATAAATATTTATTCGTAATGTCTATTAATTAATAATGGAGTCCTTAATGCCAATGAATAATACACTAAGGGATTGTTAAATTTAGCAATAACATATATTTAAGTGTTGCTGATAGTTATTTATGTATTCCGTCAGGCTACAAGGTGACGGAGGACATAGCGCGCACGCGGTGCTCTGTGGCGGGCGTGGGGCTGATCTCCCCGCCGCCGCACCACGACATCTACTCCATTGAGGACCTCGCCGAGCTCATCTACGACCTCAAATGCGCCAACCCCAAGGCACGCGTTTCCGTCAAACTGGTCTCTGAAGTCGGCGTTGGAGTCGTCGCTTCCGGTGTTGCCAAGGTATAAAAAAATCTTCTCCAAGGCTGGTAAAGCATAAGTAAGACTGTATGATAGCGGAAGTCCATGGACGTTTATGTGATCTCGCATGTCCTTTTCTCTTAGACAAAGATATCGTTTTTAATAGCTTGCTGTAGTTTGCGCGCATATTTAGTAGCGACCATTGGAAGTTCACTAAATATCTGCGATTTAAAATGTATACAGAGTTATTTATCTGAAATCGACAAATAAATTTTGCTGACCTAGCTTTCGACCGCGACTACTTCGATGTGGAATTAAAAATAAAGAAAATTTAGTAACCTACGTGTTCTTTCATACTATCCCCTACATTTATACCAAATTTCATCGAAATAAAGCCGTTTAGGCTACAAACTCTAAGATCCATCTATCTAAACTATCACATTTGTAATATTAGTAAATTTATGTTGTGTTTGTGCAGGGTAAAGCGGAGCACATCGTGATATCTGGCCACGACGGCGGCACGGGCGCGAGCTCGTGGACGGGCATCAAGAGCGCCGGCCTGCCCTGGGAGCTCGGCGTCGCGGAGACGCACCAGGTGCTCGTGCTCAACGACCTGCGCTCCAGGTGAACATAACCCTCACCTAGCAAACAGAACCAAAATACTAAACGAGCTTACCCTAGTGGCAACAAAAATTTTACTTTGCTTGCTTTAAAGTACTATAGTGGATATACTAGCTTTAGCCAGCGACTACACTTGCTGGGAATTAAAAATCTTCCTAATTAAGCTATGTGTTCTTACCAGATTGTATTTTGTTACAAATTTTAACAAGATCCGATGAACCGTTCTGCAGTTACGAAGTAAAACATTCCGTATAAACTTATACATGTATACTCGTATATTAGTAACATATTCTGTGTAATTAGGGTGGTGGTGCAGGCGGACGGTCAGATTCGTACTGGATTCGACGTGATGGTGGCCGCGCTGCTCGGCGCTGATGAATTCGGCTTCAGTACTGCGCCCCTCATAGTACTCGGTACATACAACATTAACGAGTTTCTTCTACTGTATAAAAACACTAGCTGCTCCCATAACTGTATTTTATTGTTCACATTTCTAAAACTTTCAATATCAAATGTCAAAAATCAAATGCTTCAATGACAAATCTAGCCTGCTTTTAACAGTATTATAGTTTTTGTCCCTTTCCCGCATGAGTTTTTTCCAATTTATTTACCCCCTAACTCTAACAGCGTGGAAACGTATAGCCTAAAATGTGTCGTAAGTGTAGGGCTCTTTACTAAAAAAATTATTATTTAAAAATATACTATGATTGCTGACATCCTACATAACTAGTGTGTGTATACACTAAGAGTAGTAGAGTGTTTACACTTATAAACGAAGTAATGTGTTTACACTTTATTATATTAGTATAGGTTGATTTTAATCGTATTTCTCTTGCAGGTTGTACGATGATGCGCAAATGTCATCTCAACACGTGTCCAGTGGGCATCGCGACACAGGACCCGGTGCTGCGCAAGAAGTTCGCCGGCAAACCTGAGCATGTCGTCAACTACTTATTCATGCTTGCTGAAGAGGTAACCTACCACACTTAGTGTCGGTTAATGGTCACTAAGGGAGAATCTTAATAAATATCGCTTTATAGTATCTATCCCTGTGCGGTTTCATTCGCATAATGTTATAAAAACTTGACTTTATTATTAAAATTTTAAATGTCAAAAATTAAATCCTGCAATGACAACAAAAGCCTTTGCCATTGGTGACAATAACTGTTACTGTGGCAATCTTGCTTCTTTACAGCTGCTAGCTTGGATTTTTTTTGGTTTCGTCACTTTCTCTCATAACTAACTTGTTTTAATTTTAGTATACTAGCTTTGCCTGCGACTTCGTCCGCGCGGAATTACGTAGCTTATGTGTTCTTCGAAACTATCCTTTACACCAATACCGAATTTCATAGAAAGCCGTTCCAGCCGTATAGGGTACAAACTCTAAAAAATATTCATTCATCTAAATAAACTTTTGCATTTATGTTAGTCTGATTAGAATATTGTCTTATAGTAACAATGTATTGTCAGGTGCGGACGCACATGGCGGCGGTGGGTGTGCGCCGCTTCCAGGAGCTGGTGGGGCGCACCGACCTGCTGAAGGTGCGCGAACACAACGAGAACCCCAAGGCGCGGCTGCTGAACCTCTCCCTCATCCTGAAGAACGCGCTGCACATGCGCCCCGGAGTCAACATACACGGCGGCTCCAAGGCACAGGTACAATCAGGGAATCTGTCGGTATACCACTTTAAAGGCTATAGTCCTTTGGACGTTTTGTACGCGTTAAAACATCACAGAACCAATTTGATGTAGTTTTTAAATGAGTCTGTACGAAAAAAGTCAAGTACAGGGGAAATTGTTTTTTATTATGCCGTCGTTTGTGTAACTCACTACTACCTTATAGGCTATGTGGAACATCGCGGATTTTTGCGACTGTACATCTCATCTCTATCGTTAAATCAATGACCATTAGAATGAAAAAAAAATCTAGTTAAAATTGCTTAATGTATACTTTATTTAAGTTAGGTTTTGTTTGTTCGTTGCAGGACTTCCAGTTGGAGAAGCGTTTGGACAATACTCTGATAGAGCAGTGCAGTGGCGTGCTGTCGGGCGCAGACACACACGTCGCCATCAACATGAAGATAACCAACGAGGACCGCGCATTCACCTCCACGTTATCCTACCACATTGCTATGTAATACATAATTATTTTTATACAAGTTTACTTATATTTACAGACTGTGCAAATGTATATAGATGAGGGAAAGCAATTTTGATATGAAAAACAATGTCACTGCATACAAGCATTTAAAAAAAATCGAAAATGTTCCTTTATATTTACACAAGCTTTCACCCGCGACTTTGTCCGCGTGGAATTAAAAAAACAAAAGTGAGTAGCGTATGACTGACTGACTGACAGACTGTCTTCTACATCTATACCAAAATTGAAATCCGTTCAGCCGAGGCTACAAACTTCCATCCATTCATCCAAACTTTCTCTAAATGCGAGTATGAATTGAATCAAATCAATTTTAATCTATGTTTTTTAATGACTTTAATTTAATTCTTATGTTATATCAGGAAATATGGTGATGAAGGTCTACCCGAACGCACCAGTATAGATATATCGCTGACGGGCTCCGCGGGGCAGAGCTTCTGTGCTTTCCTCTCCAGGGGCGTCAATGTCACGTTAGAGGGCGACGCCAACGACTATGTCGGTTAGTAGACAAAATTATTTAAAAAAAAACATAATAGTAATTTCTCATGGTAATACCCTTTACTCTGTCCCCCTCAATACCGTGTGCGCGGAATTTAAAAAAAAACTAACTATTAGTAGTATATATGTTCTTCCAGACTATATTCTGCGTTTATACTAAATTTCAACGAGATCCGTAGCTTCTTTCTTAAGAATGACAAACATCCATCCAAATTTTCAAGCATATAAATTATTGGTATGATATTATAAGGAAGATTACACTAAAATAAATTCTTAATCTTATTATTAAATGCCTAACAGCAGTTGGTTATGTTTTCAGGCAAGGGCCTGTCTGGCGGCACCGTCGTCATCTACCCGCCCAAGAGTTCGCCCTTCGAGTCGCATCTGAATGTGATCGTGGGCAACGTCTGTCTGTACGGGGCTACCTCCGGCAGGGCGTACTTCAGGTATTATTTTCATTGCGTTAAAATACTTTCTACATATCTATTCTGCAATTTTTTTAATAGTGTGCGACGTCATCTATTGACGAAGAATTAGCGGAATTCATGTCCGTGGAACAATCGAGCTGTTTCCAGAATGTTTGATCGCAGCGACATTTGATAGCGAGTAACAAAATTGACACCCGTCGAACAGTCTAGCTATTTTTCGAATGTTTTATCGCAACGCCATCTATTGGCAAGTCGCGGAAAAGACATTCCCTAAAAGATGTCTGAAATATTCGAAGCGGCATCGAGAATGTTCCATTGGAATATGTATGTTGTTCGGACAATCAAGAAAATTCTGGAACAAAATGACAATTGAATAAGGAATCGAAATTCAGGGTACATAAGGGGAATTAGACGTGACTCGGGAAGTCTTACGGTAGAAAGTGAACTATGAAGAAGACTAAAGTAAATGTAAAAGTGTGTTCATCTTCGCGAAATCTGTTTTTTTTTTTTTCAATATTACACACATATCCACACATATACTCCAATTTTATTAACTGTTTAGATTTAAATGGATTTGTGTTTAGGGGCATAGCGTCGGAGCGGTTCTGCGTGCGCAACAGCGGCGTGACGGCGGTGGTGGAGGGCGTGGGCGACCACGGCTGCGAGTACATGACGGCCGGCACCGTGCTCGTGCTCGGCCTCACCGGCAGGAACTTCGCCGCCGGCATGAGCGGTAACTCTACACACATGCTTACTACACAAACATTCATTATCTATACTTATATTATAAAGAGAAAAGATTTGTATTTTTGTATGTATGTATTGAAAATTACGGGGCTGATTCCAAAAACTCTTGTACCATTGTAGAGCTATGTAACCACTATAACACATTGACTATTTTTTTACTTTTTTTAATTGCACTCGGAAGAAGTCCTGAGCCACAGCTAGTATTTAATAGTTTCAGACAACCTAAAAAATTAAGATTGTAACAACCCCATAAAATTATTATCTAGACTCTTTACAACTATAACTATAATTTTTATATGGTAGTCTTAATTGTATTTGCTTGAAGACTTTCTTTAACAACATAAGCTTTGATTAATATGGCATATCTTGCACCTACTAATTATGGATTTTGTATTAACATTGTAAATCATGTGTTTAACAATTACCCCGTCAGGTGGCATAGCATACGTGTACGATGTGGATGGCTCGTTCAAGGACAAATGCAACCCTGAGATGGTGGAACTGCTGCCACTCGGAGAACAAGACCTGGAAGACGTCAGACAACTGCTGCAAGAGTTTGTTGACTACACCGGGTAAGTTAAATTAATTTATTTTATTGGGAATAATTATACTAATATAAAATGTGAAAGTTTAGATGGATGTTTGTGAGAGTTTGTAGTCTAAACGGCTGAACGGATTTCGATGAAATTTGGCATAGATGCATAGTGTGGAAGAACACAAAACACGCGGATAGAGTCGCGGGCAAAAGCTAGTTTAGTATAGCTATATGACCTTAATCAAAAAATTAATGAGAGTATATGATTCAATTTCAGGTCGATAATTGCTAAAGAACTTCTGGAAAGTTGGCCGGAGCCGGGCAAGATGTTCATCAAGGTGTTCCCGTACGAGTACCAGCGCGCGCTGAAGCAGCTGGCGCTGAAGGGCGCCGCGCCCAAAACGCAGCACAACGGCAAGGAGGAGAACGGCCTCGTAGACATCGAGGAGACCGTGCGAGATGTCGACCTCGATAAGAAGAACTTGGAGAAGGTTATAGATAAAACTAGGTCAGTGTAAAAATAGTAATGTTATTAAAAATTGGTTTTCAGTAAAGTCAGTTTGAGGATAATAATTTTGTATGATAACGTACTCTTGTTTCATACTCTCGCTCGCACGCTAGGCAAGCAGAATGTGGCAATGAGTCATGCTTAATGTGTGCCCGATTTATAATACGTTATCACGTCAAAATAAAAAATAAAACAATGAGTGGTAAGCAAATTCTTTGATCTTTTGAAAAACAACACATTTTTTTTAAAATACGATTCTTGTTGTACAACGAGTGGTCTTCATTATTTTCCGTCTAGAGTTTTTATCATCATCTTTCTCATTATTTTACTCCCGTAGGATCGGCGCAACATGTTTTAGTCCTCGGTCTAGCCTCCAGTGTTTGCAGGGGGTTCATAAAGTACCCGCGCGAGACGTCGCTGTACCGGCCGGCGGAGCAGCGCATGCGCGACTGGGAGGAGATCTACAGCGGGCGCGAGGTGCGGCGCGGGCTGCGCGTGCAGGCGGCGCGCTGCATGGACTGCGGCGTGCCCTTCTGCCAGAGCGCGCACGGCTGCCCGCTCGCCAACATCGTGCCCAAGTGGAACGACCTCGTGTACCGCGGCCACTGGCGCCAGGCGCTCGACCAGCTGCTGCAGACCAACAACTTCCCAGGTGACATACAGGAGACAGGCGTCAACTGAAGGCAATTACGCGTAAACTCTAATAAATGTGCATGCTGGAGGGCTGATTTTAATTCCTTTTCCCAAACCACCCTTTTTTATTAGGAAAGAATGGGAAGGGAATGCGGATTTGTCGGGTGTAGTTCGCTTAGGTAGGGGAAATATCCCCATTTTGTGCGTCCCCTTTGTCGATTAAAGATGGACAACGCAAATGCGTATTTCTTTTGTCTTTTTCTTTCAATTAATTAGAAAAGCGTGACACTAGCTTTTTGTTTTATTTTTTTTTAATAATTTGTTAATATTAGAGTTCACGGGGCGCGTGTGCCCGGCGCCGTGCGAGGGCGCGTGCGTGCTGGGCATCTCGGAGCCCGCCGTCACCATCAAGAACATCGAGTGTGCCATCATCGACCACGCATTCGACAACGGATGGATACAGCCGCAGGTAAATAAAACTATTACTACCAATAAATCGAACTGGGATGTAAAAAGTTTGTTCCAAGTAATCTCAAAATAATTGTTGAATTTTTAGATCCCCGAATGCCGCAACGGTAAAACAGTAGCAATAGTTGGCTCGGGCCCAGCGGGACTGGCTTGCGCACATCAACTCAATAAGGTATAAAATGTTTCTACTCTCTGAGTATAGACAATATATTCTTACTAATGACACACGCAATGGTTTGGATAGATAGAAGGAAAATTGATATAAGGAACCTCTAACACGGATCCCTAAGAAATTTGGCACAGATGTAGAACATAGTCTGGAAGAACACCTAGGCGACTTACTAAGTTATTTTTCAATTCAGCGAGGACGGAGTTGCGAGCAAAAACTAGTTATATATTAAGTAACTGTTTGTATCAGGCGGGGTACACGGTGACGGTGTTCGAGCGCAACGACCGCGCGGGCGGGCTGCTGCAGTACGGCATCCCCAGCATGAAGCTGAGCAAGCGCGTGGTGGAGCGCCGCCTGCGCCTGCTGGCCGCCGAGGGCGTCCTCTTCAAGTGCAACATACACGTCGGCAAAGACATCTCCGCCACGGACCTCGCCAACGAGTCAGTCAACATCGCAATACTTCTTATTTATTTATTAATACTAGATGTCGCACGCGACTTCGCCCCCAAAAAATCAAAACTGCAGTGAAGAAAGAAGTGAAGTCTTTTAATTAAAAAACTTTGATACTATGTATACTTATATCAAGAGTGATTAAATTTTTAAAAGTTAAATTTTACTAATCGACATTTTGTATTTAAATAATAGAGTTGTTTTTAAGAATTCATGTATTTTAGTTGATACATTATATATTAGATACGACGCGCTGGTGCTGTGCGTGGGCGCGACGTGGCCGCGCGACCTGCCGCTGAAGGGCCGCGAGCTGAACGGCATCCACTTCGCCATGGAGTTCCTGGAGGGCTGGCAGAAGAAGCAGGCCGGCGCCGCGCACCAGCCCGGCAAGGACCTGCCCGCGCTCAGCGCCACCGACAAGCACGTGCTCGTCATCGGCGGCGGCGACACCGGGTCAGCCTCCCCCCTCCCCCCCCCCACACACACATACTTACATACATACATACATACATACATACATACAACTTTCATATTCAGTACTACTGTATATCTCAAATTCCGAAGAAAGTGTGGATGGGTGCGAAAGAAGATTTGTTTAATTCAGATATAACGGCTGTTACTGAGTTGGCACAGTATGTGCTCTTCCATACATCTCTAGGGACAAGGGCAGGTTGATAATTTGTTAAAAGGCCAAACAACTTTTGTTGAATTAAATGAGACAAGTGACTTCTTGGAGAAATTTGTCCTCGCCGGACATTTCAGACTTAGTTATTTTTACCAGTATGAAGTTGGTATTAAACTTCAAATATCATGATAACCGAAGGCCGCTATAATTAAAATTGTATTACTACGCAAAAAGCGTGAAAAACCTACAAGATATAAAAAAACTACAATATGTGGTAATGTGGTTATGTCTGTTTATTTTATCCTGTGTTGTGTAGGTGTGACTGCATAGCGACGTCGCTGCGGCAAGGCGCGCGCTCCATCACCACCTTCGAGATCCTGCCGGAGCCGAAGCGCGCGCGCGGCGCTGACAACCCCTGGCCGCAGTGGCCCAGGATATTCAGGTCTACTGCTCACCATACATACGACTAACTTGAAGTTTCTGTTCTCTTTTTATTCCCAACTGATTTATCTGAGGACAGTTTTTTTTCGTACGTTAATTTGTTGTCTATTGTTACTGCCTACAATTCGTCTTTTCTTCTTTCTTTTCATAAGGTATTTACTATTTCACCTATAGTTGACTTGAGAACTAAAAACAAAAAAATAGTATAAAACCAAGTTAGAACCTTACTCGCTATTTTTTTTATTTCTCATTGTTTATGTTTCTTTTTATTTTTTCGAGTAAAACTAGTTGTTACATTTTATCAGCGGGTTTCATTTTAGGGAATTCAAAATTAACATTGTGTTATTTTATGTTTAGAGTGGACTACGGGCATGAGGAGGTGAAGGTGAAGTTCGGACACGACCCGAGACAGTTCTCCACGCTCACCAAGGAGTTCCTCGATGACGGTAGTTATTATATTATTTTTATTTGTATTTATTTGTCTTAATGGGCGTTATATGTAATTACTATGCAGACGAATACGTGGGTAAAAGTTGATAAAGTGTAATAATTGGTGTGTCAGGTAGCGGCAACGTGTGCGGCGTGTCGTGCGTGGAGGTGGAGTGGGTGCGCGGCGCGGGCGGGCGCTGGGAGATGCGCGAGCTGGAGGGCACGCAGCGCGTCGTGCGCGCAGACCTCGTGCTGCTCGCCATGGGCTTCCTCGGCCCCGAGCGGCACGTCGCGCACCAGCTCGGTAACCACCACCAACTACAACTACGACCATCATCACCACCACCAACTACGCTACGACCATCATCAACACCACCAACTACGTTACGACCATCATCAACACCACCAACTACGTTACGACCATCTTCAACACCACCAACTACAACTACGACCATCATCAACACCACCAACTACAACTACGACCATCATCAACACCACCAACTATACTCTGAGCATCATCACCACTAACTACCAACTACTACTAGATGGTATGGACTCACTGGCACTATTTATCATTCACACTGTGCCAGATGATGTCCAATCCAGTCATTCAGTGTTACTAACTGTATTGGCAAAGTGGCGCACTAGCTATAAGTGATGAGGCGCTGCTGTCGATAGATAAAAATCCTGCCTCCCGAAAATGTTTTCGTCCAATCAAGCTTTTTATTATATCTAATAATTCTGTCAGAACATAAGTCTATGGACATATAAATAATAGTTTACTTTTAGCTTTTATAATATCAAATTACTTATCTGTCTATGATGCTTGGGAACAGTTAAATTCAGACTTTTTTTTAACTATTTAATGACCTTATTATAATTTATAATACATTGTTGCTAGATAGTTCAATGTTTGTTTAATGTTCAATGTCAATATATTTATCCTGTGATTATTACTAGAAGTTTTCTTATATGCAGATTTGCCGCTGGACGCGCGCAGCAACATCGAGACAGACAAGACCAACATCTACAAGACGCCTATGAGCAACGTCTTTGCCGCTGGAGGTAAACACTATCTATACTATTATAATAAAGCGTAAACACACACTTCTTTGTTGCCTAAAATATCAGCAATTACACCATATTTTTGAATAATTCTATTTTTAATAAAAAGCCCTACACTTGCGTCACGCTTTAGGCTATATGTTTTCACGCCATTAAACTTAGGGGGTAAATATTTTGAATAAAAACCATAATGTGGGAAAGAGACCATAAGTTGCTGCCAACATCAAGAAAGCAAAATTCCTAAGTTTTGTCATGTCATGTCATTTTGACATTTGCAATAGACACTTTGACACATGTAAACAATAAAATAAAGTTTTTATAATTTCATGCGGATGAAGCCGCAGGGAACAGCTAGTTAATGTTATAAAGAGGAAAGGTTTTTATTTTTGTATATATTGAAATAACTCAAAAGCTATTGGACAGTCTCAAAAATTATTTTAACTAAGTTATGTAACATAGGGTATATTTATTACAAATTTATTTTCCGCGCCACAGTTAAATTTAGAAACACCTGTTACATCTTTTTTGTATGTCGCATCAACAATATTAGTAATTAACGCTCGTGACTTCTTCCACTCAAACTTAAAAAAAAAACTGTTAAGTCGCATATGTTCTATATCTGTGCCATTTTTCTTCACAAGCCGTTGAACAGTTCTAAGGAGACGTACTGACAAACATCTTTCCTTCTCTAAACTTTCGCATTAAAGATATTAGTAAGAATGAAAATGAAAAATGTTCTATTGTATCGCAAAATTTCACAATTTTTAGAGGACATCTGTGGTATGAGACCTGTGTTATAGGAAGCAAAGCCTGGTACCTTTAGTGGGTCAGTATTTGTGCGACTAAGGCAAAGATTAATAAAATTTGCCAAAACCCATGACTTTTTTTAAAGAGCGTCAGTGGCTGAGTGGTTTGAGTACTTGACTTGTAATCCACAGATCCTGAGTTTGAATCCCGTCATGTACTACTGTGATTTTCGATGTTGTTAATTTCATATATAGGGTAATTGTAAACTAGTGTGGGCTCCGAGTCTTTCCGTGGTTACGTATAGTGAAAAATCATGAAAAATGATATGTTTGTAGACTGTCGTCGCGGTCAGTCGCTGGTGGTGTGGGCGATCTCCGAGGGGCGGCAGGCGGCGCGCGCAGTCGACCTCTACCTGAGCGGGCGCACCACGCTGCCCGGCCCCGGCGGACTGGTACACGCCTGAACAACCGTAAAACAACAAATTACTATACAGAAATAATAACTATTAAATACCAATCCGCTGTGGGAGAGCCATAAACAAGAAATATAATAGAATAACTATTAAATTATGTCCAATAGAAATATTAAATTGTCTGAAAATTACCCTTCTATCCAAAGCTATAAATGTGCACAAAAAATCTTGTGTATTTTAACCTTTTCGACGGTTTTTTTATAGCAAAAAACTATTTTATTTACTAAATTTTTTTAGTTAATTTTTTAATTAGTTATTTCGTCACACCAGATACTGTCAAATTAAGGGTTTAACCCTTATAATAATATATTGTTCAGTAAGTTCGCCGTTGTACACTTCAAATATTTTATCCTGGCGTATCGTAGCGTTTGAACCTTAACACTTCAGCAGAAGGCTCAATTTAGAAATTGTAGTTCGGCCATTTTGTGTAGATGTTAAAAGTAGTGTAGAATTTTGAAATCAATGTAGTTTGCTTAAAATAAATTGAACTACATAGAGTATTTATAAATCGATCTGTTTGTAGAGATTATTAAATTAGTAGTGTTGAAGATAATGTATTAATATTTAAAATTAACATTCATTCCTAATGTTACTTTTTAAAAGTTCCTTTATTATTTGGAAATAATTAAGATGGTTTTCGGATATAAATTAATCTTGCGAATAGTAGGTTTTAAACTATAATCTGCAAAAATTAAGAAAATGTTTAATTTTTTTTCAACGGCCAATCAGTGACGAGCCAACTATTCGTAAGTTTAATAAAAATCCGTGGTGATTGTAATACGAAAAGATTGCAAATAACAATAATATTATATAGTGATTATAGTAAACTAATTTATTCGAAATTTATCATAAAAGTGTCAAAAAATGTAAATAATATTTTTTTCTTTAAGAAATCCTTGAAATGCTATGGTTTTCTTATTATTAAGAATTGTTCGTTTATAACCCATTTTTATATTTTATTGTATTGTTTTATATTTTTTAAATCTGCTATAAGGTTTTCTGTATTACATAACGTACCTAATTTTTCTAGGCGTTTGTAACTATTATTTTAAGTACATTCCGTTGAAGATACGTAGATTACGTAATTTGTACCTACGCTTCTACTGTATTACATTTCTCAGAGCAAATTAAACCAAGAAAAATAAAAAGAATTAATTTAATTAAGAAATGTTAAAAAAAAACAGTAATTAAAAATATTAATTAATGATTTTTTTGGGAATTTTGAAAATCTTTGCAATGCTTAAATTGATTTAAAACTGCATATAATAAGTTAAATTAAATTAAATATCTCTAACCCCAGTAATGTTAAAAAAAAAACATTTTTTAATAATTTTTTTTCTTCTAACAAATCTCTAAATCGACCTTGTGTTAATTGGGTCAATCATCTCCAGTGCCTCTCAGATACGTTTATTTCTCTCAAACGAGACAAATTGATGACTGCAGTACTTTAGACCTAGACCTTGACAAGTCTATCAAAGTCTCTTAACCCAGTTTCTTATTTTTTGTTACATAATAGAACTTTAATTAGAAAGCCCTCATAAACATGTCTTTTTAATTTTTTTTTTAATTCCGTTTAGTTGCTCTGAGATAAAATTTGTTAAAATTTCTTTGAATATGAGTGATCTCTCAAGTGTCATATCATGAAAATTGTTGATGAAATTAAATGTTATTAATGATATTGCAACGTATTTGGAGTTTTATTTATAAACCTATGACACCCGATTAAAACCAGAAATATTCATTATCACCGAAAATATTTGAACATGTAAGAATCTTTGGCTTTGGTCACAATAAAATCTCATAAGAAAAAGACAAGTTTTATTTCCCTTACTTTAATAACTTGTTTACAAATAAAATTGTTTACTACAAATGTGATACTATACAAAATTCCATAGGCGTTAGATCTTTATACAAGATTCATAATCAACTAAAAAGTATGTAGTCGGACACGTATCACGTGTGCCTCGTGCGTAGGGGAACTGGTTGTGACACGAGTTTGTTTCAGGTTATATTTTGATGTATACCAACACAACATGGTAATAAGGATTTTCCTTAATGCCGTTTTTATTTAATAACGTCAAAAACATAATATCAAATTATGTGCTAATGTTTAATAATTATAGTAAGACTGGCGCAGATGCCGATCACCTGATGACGCAACATTTGTACATAACAAAAACAAAATAATGACGCCTATAACCCATATGGGTAGACGGTACTAGCACGTTTCTCGTAACCTCTATGTTCAAACATCTACGACTAAATTCTCATCGATCTTGTGTTCTTAATACAGTCCTTTCAAAAAATATGTGGATGAACAATCATTTCATATATGAATGAACAATTATTTCCCAATACAATAGGACTTAATGAATTGGAAAACCGTGGGTAGGAAGTCCGCTGAAATACACAACGCATAATTAATGGGACATATATTTCCATAAATGTTCCACTTTCATAATTTACCTGATTATCTCCCGAACGAAGTGACTTAGTCTGAAGACGACTCTTAAGCTAACACCTTATCAGGTAAGTTAATATCTCTAAACTATGTTTTAAAATTTAAAGTAAAGGATATGAAGCTTTTCAAATATTTTGAGCTACATTCATTTGTTTTTAAAACATTTTTTTTTTAGTTACATGCATTCTATTTGAAAATCAAATATGAAGGAGAAATTAAGAGCTATCTACGATTCAGTAGACAGAAAATTCTTTGAGCAATTTGAGTTCCGCATGCGAGAGACGAATGTACGAAAGCTCGCTGTGTATTTGCACAAGCCAAAGGATGCGTCGAGTTTAGCTGTTACCAGAATATTGTTTGGTAAGTAAGCGAAAATTATTCTTACTCAGATTGCAAGTGAAAGGCAAAGTGATTATTACCAACTAAAGTAGACTACTATTTTCAATTATTAACAAATTAATTTGAAGACAATTCGATGAAAAGCTTCAAATTTCGTATTTCCTACTGTTTCCAAATAGTGTAAAATGTATCCACGTAACACGTATTGGAATTATTTGTGTTGCTAACAACCAATTGATTAGGACATAATACGCTGTTATTACATTTAGGCATAGCGATGTTATTCGACATCCCGGACGAGCGCGGGGGCGCGGCGTTGGCTGCGCGCTGGGGTGACCCTAGCACCTGCCGCTTCCCACTGCTGCCCTTCCTCCAGCCGCTCCCGATGCCGCATATGGCTGTCGTCTACGCCGCGCTTTGGTTAGGTAAGTTTAAAAACGTCACACTTAAAATTGTCTATCTTCATTCTTATAAGCACTACCTGATAAAAAACATAACGCTGCTACTGAGTAAAGCAGTAACTCTAAATACTTGTGGTGACTGTATTGTTGGAGAGAACGCAAGGAAATTGATGAAATTTTTGTGTTACTTTGTGAGGAAATGTGTAGCGGATGCTTTTAAAATAACTAAGTACAATGTTGTTTTTCCTCCAGGTGCGCTAGGAATCGCTCTAGGCTACAAATACCGCATCAGTTCTATCACCTTCACGGCGTGTTTCTGGTATCTTTTGCTGGTGGAGAAGAGTTACTGGAACAACCACAGCTATCTCTTCGGCCTTGTCGGCTTCCTGCTCACGTTCACGCAGGCTAACTGCTATTGGTAAATTGTTTATACTAAACGTATGATATGAACAAAATAACTTTTAAAACCCAACAAAGTTTAGCAGGGTATGACAGCTATAAGCTAACAAAAATGGCTTTTACTATATCGAAATACTTTTAAACGCCTCAATTTCTCGTTTCCTTTTTTCCCTAGAGTTTTATGACTAAAATTTTTATCAAGGCACAACCAAAATCGAATGTTTTTTTAACCAGGTCCATTGACGCCTATTTGAATCCAGCATTATCCTCACCGACTGTCCCGTACTGGAATTATTTTATTCTGAAGTACCAGTTTTTTATTCTCTACTTCATGGCGGGCGTAAAGAAAGGCACCGCAGAATGGCTGACTGGTTACTCTGTGCAGAATCTAAGTGAACACTGGGTGTTTAATCCATTTAAGTAAGTAAAACAACCAAAGTCGTTGAATGACCTCCCTTAGTGTGGATTTGTGATATTTGCACCCGAAAACCTGATTTAAAGTCGAGGAAATTTATTTTTAACGAATTAATTAGTGAAATGCGTCATTACGTAAAAGGTCAACATTTTGTAACTTGTGGCTATAATGTTTATTCAAAGCAGTTTTTCATATGTGGCAATTTGCTGCGTTATAAGGTAGTTATTTGAACGTAAATTTAACACCGTTACTTAAAAAAATATAGTAATTTTAATTCCGTTACAAATAATTTTTCGCGGCAATTTTTTAACCTTTATTTTGTTTAGGACCTTTTTTTTAATTCAATATCAAACCTAGATATGTACAACTAGATAATCAAGGTGAACTATATAGTAAATTGAAATACAATTTAAAATATTTTTGTAATCATAGTAATCATAGTCATAGTCATAGTAATATTATAAATGTGAAAGGTTAGATGGATAGATGGATGTTTGTTAGTTTGTAGCCTAAACGACTGAACGGATTTAGATGAAATTTGGAATAGATGTAGAGGATAGTCTGGAAGAACACATAGGCTACTCTCTTTTGTTTTTTTTTTAATCCTACGAGGACGGAGTCGCGAACGAAAGCTAGTTTGTAATAAACATGAAATAAGTTAGATAATAACGTAAGACAGTGTTTTAATTATGTTTCGTCAGATTGTTCCTGTCAGTATCTCAGACTGACTACCTGGTGGTGCATTGGTTTGTGTTTGCCTTCGACCTGACGGTGGCGGGCTGGATGATGTGGTCTCGCTCCCGTCACATCGCCATGATCCTCTGTGCTCTATTCCATTTGATGAACAGCAGACTGTTTAGGATCGGTGCGTATTAAGGGTAATAGGGACAGTACAAAACCAGAGCGCTTTTTCGTAAAAAAAAAAAGATTATATTGCTCAAATGTTGATAGTTATGTAAGCGTGGATAATTGGATACTTGATAATTATATTCTTAGAGAACGCTTAAACAATAGTCGGTGTTGCATAATTGATTAAAGTATTATGCCTTCTCTATGACGGCAACTCAAAATATGCAAGTACTGAATTAAAAAAAAAAGAAAATTATAAACAAGTTTTACATCACCTAGTGCCTTAAAAGTGTTTAGAAAAATCTCAATAGCTTCTAGAATCTTTGAGTAGTGAATCTTATACAATTTCTGATTAAGTGCCAAGTATATTTTAACGATAATTTTTCCAGGCATGTTTCCATGGGTTTGTTTAGCGACGATGCCGCTATTTTATCCTTTTGACTGGCCAAATTTAGTATTCAACCATGTAAGAGATTCATACTCGAGAAGCAAATCAATAATTTGTAAATACATGTGCATGCTACTAACTGACAGAACTGTGCAAAATAAAAAGGAAACTTTAAATGAAGAAAATTCCGAGCAAATAGAAAATAACACCAAAGAAATGTCTGATGAAGATTCATCAAAGATTGCAGTTGACGAAACTCTTAAAGCAAAGAAGGAAAACAATATTGATACCGAAAAAATTGATAGTACAAATTCGTCAGAAACTGCCGAAGCTGATCATACTGACAGAGATGTGAACGAAGGAAAAAGAATATTGACGTGTATTTTAATCGGAATTTACGTATTTATACAAGGTTTTCTACCTTTTTCGCACTTCATTACTAAGGTAATTAATTTTTATGACATCTTAATCGAATGAATGTAAAAATTATGGTTCAAGTATTCTTTTAAACATGTCAATGTCGTCAACTAAGTATGTAGACCAATTTTTAAGTAAGTTATTAATTTTAGGGTTACAATAATTGGACGAATGGTCTTTACGGATATTCTTGGGATATGATGGTTCACACGTGGGATATGGATTCGGTTGTGGTGAAAGTAGTCGATAACGAAAATAACATAGAGTTCTACGTCGAGCCACACCATTTCACGCCTAATGAACGCTGGTCCCGGCACGGCGACATGGTGCACCAATATGCGCGATGCATCAAAAACAATATATTAACAGAGTCTAGAAAAAGAAAATGGAATGACGAAGGCAATCACCTTAATGATAATATCTCAATTTATCTCGATGTCTGGTCCTCCTTAAATGGTAGATTCACTCAGCGAATGTTTGATCCGAAAGTTGACTTATTGAATGTTTCGTGGTCTCCATTTACCCCTGTATCTTACTTGATGCCGCTCCTCGACGAGGGTCTGAGCTGGAGGGAGCACTTGCTGCACGTGAGGGATACTGTACACTCGTGGAATAACAACAGTGACGTCATTTTTCTTGCCGATTTTCCTGGTGAGTGTACACTTATACAAACGCAGATTCAGATTAAATAAGAATCGTAGAGTTGTAACCCAAAAACTTTCGTTCAATGTAACTTATTATTTACAGGGTATGAATACGAGAAATATGTACCCGAAGAATTAAAGAATGTCACCCTCACTGTGTTAGAGGGACGTGTCGTGTACGAACCAGAAACTGCACCGGACCTGATCGGCAGATCCTATCAGCTCCGGACTGGGGACGAAATCGAACTGACTTCTGGGATTTTCCACAAGATTCTAAATGTCGGTGACGCTCCCGCCTATTATATGTACACGTTTTATAACAGCTCGGCAGTTAACCATTCTCTATCCAAGCCAATACCAAAGTTACCTATTGTAATGGAGCTACAAAGACGTTTCAACAATATGGCAAAGTTTGCAAATGATATTATTACAAGCTTAATTCAATTATTATTTAATGTTTCCAAATGTTTTGTTCAACAATGCGAAAATTAATAAATTAGCTTAATACCTTTGGTGTCGATATAATTAACATATTTTGTGCAACACTACGCTTGTAAACATTCATTAATAAAGGTCTAGTGTTATTTTAATATCTAATTTATTTTACTCTTTACAATCTTAAGAAATATTTGGGGTTACGCAGAAATATGTTATCTGAATCTGTCTAGGCCTTACATTTCGACGGCCATGGCAATTTAACCTTAACATAAAAGCTAATTTAACTTTATCAAATTTAAAAACTGACACTAGTCTCGACGGCTAACGCGATACAGTTAACCAATGCATCAATAGTCGCTGTGGTAACTTTTTTATCGGTATTCTCAGTTCCACGAGCAAGGTTGCATGCATTTTTTCGCATTACGCACATACCTATTATGATAGAAACATATTGCGGAACTATCGCGGCGGTGGCGGCTTTGACTTCTGGATTTGGATCTGTGTCGAGAATTACGTTTATATTGGTTTTGAGTTTTGAGAGCGGCAACTTGCCTCGTGAGATCAGCTATTTGTTTCTCTAAATTACTGTAATCAGGTGAGGGTGGTTTTGACTTTGCTGTATTTACAGATATAGATTTGACATCCATAATCCTGTCTGCTATTTCAGCTATTTTTTCAATTGGTAAATCCCACTGGGCTTGCAAGATTGCTTGGACATCGACTGGTAGCCGTCGCAACCATAACTGTCTTAAAAACACATCATCAACAGAATCTTTACTTAATAACCACTTCAAGGAGCGCAGGAATTGTGACGGTCGCCGATCTCCTAGCTCGTCTTCGAATATCTGTCGCCACCGCACTTCTGATCGTGAGAAACGCTGCAACATTTCTTCCTTTATCCACTCATATCGACTGCCTTGGATCGGAGTTTTTGTGACAAGGTCCTTTGCCTCTGTTGCATCGATATGAGAAATCACGCAATTATATTTTGTCTCATCGTTCGTTATTCCTGATAAAGAAAATACTGCTTCTGCCTTCGCAAACCACAAATCCGGATGTTCGGAGCAGAAGGGTGATAATTTTGAGTTTACTTCGTGCATAACTAATCCAGGTAAGTCTGCGGATGAGAAACTTGCTTGTCGCTCATAACTAGCCATTATATCAAGTCACTTTAGCACGGTTGATACGCACAAAACCCTGTAACGATAAGAAAAGCAAGAAATCTCAAGCGAGTGTTTCACTCGAGACTCGAGTTACTTTTACTATAATACACCGTAATGCTCACTGAATTTCATTTAAAATGTAGTGTCAAGCAAATCTTATTTATTTTACCAAAGACGCTTGCCCCTCTGTTAAGCTTTCGAAAAATTTATATGTTTAATATATGCATCTATATAGGTACCTCTTTGGACAAGGGTATTCAGGACAAACCTTTTGATACACAAAAGTTTTAACAATACAAAAACTAAAACGCACTTGAATTCTGGATGTTAGGCTGCTTGTTTTGGGTTCTCCTGCGTCTATATTTCTTGACTCAGTATTAACTAAACGTTTTCTTACTGATTATCACTTTGGTGGCACTAGCGCCTACCTATAAGTATATGGGCGATAGTTTGGAAAAAGACTACTTGAAAGAAAAACTGATTTCGCCCAGAAAATAAAATACCGTGTGCTGTAGTTAACATTTGTGTGCCACTTCAAATTTTTTAGAGTTACATTATTTTAACGGGCGCTAATTACAGGAATTGTTGCTGAATGATGGGAAGGGATAGAGCGTGCGACAAACCTGAATGCTACAACGCAGTCTCCGTATAATTATTATGATCCGTGATCCCTACGTGCAGTACGTATTGGAACAATTATTAAGGATCGGTATATGTACGGGAAGGGTTAATTTTTAAATTCAGTTAATTTCTGACATTTAACGTGCATGACAATACAAAAAAACACCGACACAGATTAAGCCGCGTGTCAAACTCCGTTTTGTATTTATTATATTGGTAACCAATGTAACAAATTAACACAATATAGGTAGCGAACACAAATTAAACTAAAATTCATCACAAAAATAAGAATAAACAAATGCTCAGTTTAACAGAATTTGAGATAATAAAGGTATGATGGATGATTTTGTACATTAGAAACGTAAGACCAAATACGCCCTTTTTTACAAAAATAATCCATTGCATATACTTATCTGTAAAAATATTTAATCTGTGGCCCCGGTGGCCAATAACGGAAGTCCGTCTGACAACTTCAATTTCATTTCCTCGGAAGAACTTCAAAACGATCGCGTTTTGCAACCGCAACATGCATGGTAAAAGCAAAGCACAGTGTATAATAATAGCGTCATAAGTGGCGTGATCGGTATGACTGTGTGACTGTGAAGAGAACGTTGAGTGAGCTCATTCATCGTTTCGTCGGCGCTGTGGCGAGTTGAATAAGCACGGGCCTGGCCGACGCCTCAACTCGTCAACGCGAATATATAATCAACATTAAGACATTCCGCGTTCATTATTGAATTTAGCGCCAATAAGTCGGCACGCCGAACCGCCCTGGCATTTTAGGCAACTGTGATATAATACGTTAGTAACCTATTCAAAGATTTTTAGGTTAATCCTATACCGGTGATATCAGTTTGACGTCCCGTTTGAAAACCTACCGTGTTTCGTGTTCTTCAGTGTGATTAATTGAAGTATTATATCATTTGAAATATGGAGGCTTCCGTGAATTATAACTTGGATGTCACACCAAACTACTCTTATATATTCGAATTTGAAAACGAGTTCATTCACCAAAATTATAGGAAATGGATGACTGAAAATTGGACTGTGGCTTTCTATTATGTTGGAGTTTATATGGCTTTTATTTTCGGTGGCCAGTACTACATGCAGAACCGTCCCAGGTAAGAAATTACTTCTATACTTTACATACTTTCACTGTACAGTCTAACACTTTAGCGAAGCACTCTGCCATGAAATAATTTTTTGTCCCCAATAAAACAGATTAAATGTATTTTTAGGATAAATTTTTCTTACATAGTTCTTGAGGAACTTTACAAGTCTATTAGAATATTGAACAGAACATAATTAAGAACATAATTAGAAATCTTTTAACAAAATATAATTTTTATAAACTGTTTTAAATTTTTACGATTTTAAATCTGTAGTAATCTTAGATCCATTTAATCTAAAATTTTACATAAAATAAAAAGCTTCCACATTAACTAAATTAAAACAATTAAAATAGCCTGAATGACTATTAACCCTTAACTTGGCAGAATTTTATTTTTTCGAATATCAAAATAATATTCATAGCACTTAACCTTGATGAGCCAAAGTGTTTAGAAAAAAAAATTGATGTATCTCTACAGATACACTAACAAGAAAAGGGTTAATATAACACTGACACTAGTACTACAAAATGTTAAAGCGCTTTAAATTATTTGATACATTAAAACTATGGGTTCTTAATACATTAATTATATTGTATATTGAAGGTGAAATTCATATTATACATAGGAAAAATGGTTGATAGAAAAAAATAAAATATTTCATGTTGCCGGTGTTTATAAAAAAAAAAAATAGTGTGAAAAGATTTCTTGAAAAACTACACAAAATGAAAATGAAAATCTCTTAACAAATATCACTTTCTGACTTCCCTTCTTCCTTAAGAAACTTTAATGATTATGTTACCAGTATTTAAATATTTTTCACATTGTTTCCACAAAAATTGTTATCTTTATTTGTTAAGGTAATTAAAAATTGCTTGTTATATTTTTTGTATAGCTTAGAGTAATCAAGATTTATGTAAATGTAATGTTATTAAATAGTACTTGTATGGTGCATAAAAAATGGTGCGTAATCTGCACATATCAATTAAAAAAAATGTGTTTAACAAACGAAATTGCACTAGGCCAGTGTGGTTGACTAAGGCCTAATCACACCTAACTTGGAAGAGGTTATTCAAACCAGAGTAACTCAAAACCCCTTATTGTGTGTTTACAAATTTTGTCAGTTGTTTATATTATTTAACATCATGCTACAAGCCCTGAGTGCTTAACATGCAGAAAACCGTGAGGCTTACATAGTCAAATTGTATAAACTAGTGTACCTATAACAATACCGGTTATTGTTGACTTTAGAAAGTGCATCTGATTGATGAATTTTTATTTGAACTGCCAAAAACTAATGTCATCCCTCTCACACCACTAGTGAAACTAGATTTACCAATTGTTCCAATAATAAAATACCTAATAAATTATCTAGTTACAACTACCATGTAATGATCTTAATTTCCTGCTAACAATTTCCTCTTTAATATATTTTCTGTGTAAGAAATTACTGTATGGTAATAAAAATTCCACACATGTTAATTAGCGAGGCATATTTTAATGTTATAATTAACCTTTAAATGTTAAAATAATTTTACCTTTTCTTATTTATTAATTAAACAAATAATGCAACTCCGGATAAGTTTTATGATTCACATCCCTTCAAAATGATTATTAATAACTATTTTTCCCTTAAATTGGGTGAATTTTTTTGAAACAGTTCATGTCCTTGTATAACATAACACAAAGGTTGTTACCCTATTAATCACTTTGGCCTCAGACTACTTCCCAAAAAAAGTATATGTTGCTTAATGTTTTTTTTACATAGCGTTCACATAATTTATCTGTACACAACAATTGTGAAAGTAGTAAAAGAAAGGTGCTTTTTATAAAGGTCTGAAATGAAAGGCGCTCTACTATCACTACTTGAAGATTCTAAATTAGCTCAATAAAATACCTATTCTTAGATAGACTAAAAATTGTTTTAAACTTAAAGGTCATATTCCATTAGCCAGTTGTCAGCCTTATTGTAAATTTAAAATAGAATTGATTTGTCGATAAATGGGATTTAGTAGGAATGATAAATGTTTTGCTGGCCTTATGAAGAGAATAAATAGAGAGATTCTAGCGCCGGCGATGTAGGTCGACTCACGATCAAAAGTGGAATGAGGGATGGGGTGGCAGATTCTTTTCACGGGCTGGGGAGGCTGTTGGGTGTAGGGTTGACAAAATTTATACTAAATAAAGTAGTTTCAGTCTTTCTTTAAAAACAAAGCTTGCGTTTTTTGCATGAAAATGTACATTAAATAATTTTTTATCTTAATGTCCAGTTACTAAAATAAACTCGTTATATTTCGAAAATTGAATGCGAATGACTTTTACATTTTAACAGGTTTGATAACTTCCAATGGTGATAGTTCGTTAGAAATTTTCGTTGATACGATTGTTAGAAAATGAATTAGTATTAACGATATTTGTTAAACTGTAAAATTATCAGGATATCTGCCTAGTTGTGTAATACAAACCGTATAACAAAAGTTTATGATTTGGCATTGGCAAAATTTCTGAATGAAATTTGCCCCACATCTGATCTGCAGCATTATGTAACGTTGCCCCATCCCTCCCCGGCCGGCCCGTTACCTCTCCCCATGTACGTTGTGACGTTAATGTTTGAAAAGGTTTTATTAATTAAAACTTATTGAATTAAGTTTTGTTGCGTACTTAACTAATGACGTAAGTGTGTTTTAGTTAAACATATAATCTGTTATTTTTTTTAACTTTCGTCAAAATTCTTATCTCATCATGCTCATAGTATTTTAAATCGTAAGTTATTGGACACAAGTTTCAATATTGTTCAGCGTTGGTGCAAATTCGCTAAAAGTAATTTTGCGAGCCGAGGAACAGTTACGTTACATCTCGGTTAGGGTTCCCATGTATTTTATCTCTACGGAAACCGACCACATGGGGCAATGTAAATTCGAATTACCATAAATATTGTTTATTATAATATTTTCAATTTCTATCTATAGGATAAAAGACAGTAAAGATCGTCATTTGTTATTAGCATTTAGAAATTGAGTTGTTTGTTCTTTTAATAATTATTTAAGGTTAAATGATACAAACTACATATCCATAATTCAAAAGAACGTATTAACATATACATATATTAACGTTATTTACAAATCAATCAATGAAATAATGTTCACTATGAATTGGCAAATATTAGTTTGAATGACATTAAATATCATGGTCACACTAATGTGGAGGTTGCAAGATCATCGAACTTGTGATGAAGTTCGGAGGAGTCATTTTTTTACTGATCATGTCTATTGTATAAATATAAGCGATATCTAAGAAGTAAGTCTATATCCGGTTAGACTGCAACAGATTTTTTAAATTATGATATACCGATCGTTTAATATAAATCGTCATATTCAGAAGTGCACAATAACTTATATAATATTTACATGATATCCAGTCGTCGGTGTATGATGCCACTTATTTAGATTCGCGTATATGTACATGCACTTCAAATAATAAAACACTTACTATGTTAACTATCTCTATTTGGCATGGACAATAAAATTTTTGAAACAAACTGCGGTTATCACCATAAATGGCTTTATTCGTGAAGACGAGCAGGATGTTCCCTGTTACACTGACATTGCGGTGTTATTTTTTTTCGTTTCAGTTGTCGAAACACTTATAAAATATATTTTTATTCCTATTCTATTTAAATGTTTTGTAATATATGTTGCAATGGTATTTAACATTGGATGCAATGGTACTTTAACATTGCAAAGTTTTGTCAAATGTAAGATATTCCTGTTTAATCTATCTAAAGTTTAATTATTTGTTAAGTTGATTTTGATTATTGTCCAGGATAATCGTGAAAATTACAAGTATGTGGACTTAATTTCCGTTGAAAATGTGGAAAAAAGATACAGCACTAAAATATTTCCTCTCCAGTAATCCTAAAAGAATAAAACTGCATAATAAAATAAGAATATACTGAATAAATCTTTCCCCGAAAACGTTCTTATCTTTCGCGAAGTTTTAATCTTATGTCTTACGACTTTGATAAGATATATAAATAAGATAACAAACAATCTATCAAAGTTTCTTAATATTGGCAGCTCTTCAGCTTAGCGGAATACGTCAATAGGAACCGTTTAGCAGGTGGAAGTATTTTGGACATCTTAGGTTTTATTTCAGGCCGAGTCAAAACCATTTGTTAAACCAATCATATTTTTTATTTATAATAGCGATTGCATCTCCTGTTCAAGCCGATGAATGTATAAATGCTAAAAGTTTTTCATATATAAAGTCGTTTGTAGGTAGTTTTCAAAATTCAACTTGCTTCCTTATATCTTTATTTATTCAAACAATCATTATTTTTTGTAATCCTTTAAAGTTAATAAATCTGTTGCTAAAGTGAATATAGGAACATCCATTTGTTTAATTAATTTTTTATTGCATACAGTTTATACCTATAAAAAATTTAATCTTCATGATATAAAAAACATTATTGCATGCTGTTGTTACTGCAAATAATGCAAGAAACGCTCAATAAACATGTCTGATATAACTTAATACTCATTATTTTAGGAGATACGTTCAAACATGTTTGCTTCACAGGTGATTTCAGTCACCTTAAAAAATAACAATGTCAAATAAGTACAAATGAGATACGGAATACGTATCGAGCAAAACATTTCCTTTAACACCAACCTTGAACATGCTGAAGTGATGTTTTGTACGTGATCATGCATTTATTTTACAGTTATCTTGATGTAGTGATTGAATTGTGACCTCTTACCTAAAACTTCGTTATATTATTCGTTTTATTGTAACCTTTGCGCGGACTAGTGTCGACAATAAAAACAACGAACCATTGTTATGTCATAGCTTTTATATACGGCCAGCATCTGCCTTATAAAATCAATAACTGGTTTTTATGCTTTATTTACAGCAACACTAACTTTGGATAGACATGTTAAATTAAAAATGTCCTAGACGAGACGCTGATACATTTTATAATAGACGTGCTTGTATTGTCAATTTAATACAAT